ATTCATTTTCCACATACATCTACCTCGAAACATTTTTCTATAGATATTCATTGAAAACGAAAATATTGAAAAATTTAAATTTAGCACTTTTCCTCCAATTTTTCCATTACGGTCCATTTTAGAAAAGTCATTTAAAAACAAAAATTATAGAGATCGATATCGCAAACAACTTTTAGTTTAACAATTTTCTTAAAAATCAGAATTTTGCACATTTTGTCAAATTTCTCGAATACGGACCATTTCAGGAAAATTTGACATAGAACAAAAATTATAGATAATAATATTGTAACTTTTATTTGAAGAATTTTCTTCTCCAAACGTAAATAACGAATATATTCCATAAAATATAAAAATGACCACCAATAAAGTACCCCCCCAAATGTTCCGACTCTGTCCAAAATCTAATCAGTTCACCTCAGGTCGAAATACGGTCCATTTTAGAGAAATTATGTATAGGATAAAAATTATAGAGAAATATGTTACAAACAACTTTTATTTGAACAATTTTTATAAAAAATTATTTTTTTACATTTTGTCAAATTTCTCAAATACGGACCATTTTAGGAAAATTTTGCATAAAACAAAAATTATAGATAATTATATTAGAAGTAACTTTTATTTGAAGAATTTTCTTCTCCAAACATAAATAACAGATATATTCCATAAAATATAAAAATGACTACCTATAAAGTACTCCCCCAGATGTTCCGACTCTGTCCAAAATCTAATCAGCTCATTGGACGCTGAAACAAAGCTTAAGTCTAAAATTTGGTGTTTTTCTGTGTATCGGTTCATGAGTTATGCGTTATACACACACACACACACACACACACACACACACACACACACACACACACACACACACACACACACACACACACACACACACACACACACACACACACACACACACACACACACACACACACACACACACACACACACACACACACACACACACACACACACACACACACACACACACACACACACACACACACACACACACACACACACACACACACACACACACACACACACACACACACACACACACACACACACACACACACACACACACACACACACACACACACACACACACACACACACACACACACACACACACACACACACACACACACACACACACACACACACACACACACACACACACACACACACACACACACACACACACACACACACACACACACACACACACACACACACACACACACACACACACACACACACACACACACACACACACACACACACACACACACACACACACACACACACACACACACACACACACACACACACACACACACACACACACACACACACACACACACACACACACACACACACACACACACACACACACACACACACACACACACACACACACACACACACACACACACACACACACACACACACACACACACACACACACACACACACACACACACACACACACACACACACACACACACACACACACACACACACACACACACACACACACACACACACACACACACACACACACACACACACACACACACACACACACACACACACACACACACACACACACACACACACACACACACACACACACACACACACACACACACACACACACACACACACACACACACACACACACACACACACACACACACACACACACACACACACACACACACACACACACACACACACACACACACACACACACACACACACACACACACACACACACACACACACACACACACACACACACACACACACACACACACACACACACACACACACACACACACACACACACACACACACACACACACACACACACACACACACACACACACACACACACACACACACACACACACACACACACACACACACACACACACACACACACACACACACACACAGACATCATCGCGAAAATAGTCAAAACGGATTCAGGGGACCTCAAAACGTAAAAATCCGTCGAAAACTCGAGGTCGAAGAAAATCATGATTCCTATACTTTCCTTATATCTGTATACAGATAGGAAAGTAAAAATGTAAAAACACCAAATGAGAAAAACTTAAACTTAGAGGAAAATTATATAGAGCTTTTATGTTCTTTGGTATGTTAATGATGGATACAAGGCCTGACATTTGTTATTGTGCGGGATATTTCTGTAAATTTTAAGATAATGCAACGGATGAACATTTTATACACTTGCTCAGAGTCTTAAAATATTTAAAGTTTTACACTTGATTATAAATTAGTTTTTCATTTATCTGATAATAGTTTATTTGACGTTAGTGATGCAGATTGGGCAAATGACATTGTTGATAGGAAGTCTATAAGTGGTTTATGTTTTAAATTATTTAACAATATAGTATCTTGGGCTTTAAAGAAACAGTCAATTGTTACTCTAAGCAGTACATAATCAGAATTTGTTGCATTATGTATGGCTAGCTGTGAACTTCTATTTTTAAAGAATATTTTAGATGATTTTAAAATTCAGTATTATTTTCCAATTAATTTGTATGAAAACAATTAAAGTACAATTAAATTTCCTAAAAATTTTGAGAATAATAAAAGATGTAAATACATAGAAGTTAAATTTCACTTTATTGTTGATCTTGTGGTTAAAAATGTTATAAAAATTATTTATATTAATACCAATGATCAGCCAGCAGATATATTTACTAAGAGTTTGTGTCTTGAAAAATTTAGTAGATTTGTTAGAATGTTAAACATATTGTTGAATTAATATGTTAAGCTTAAGGAACGGATTGTATTTTGTTTTTCGAAATAAATTTAGTCAGGTTTAAGGGACGGTGTTAAAATACCCGTATCTATTATAGTTGGCAACCCTGTCTGAATTAATTACTTATGTTTTTTTTATTTATTTATTTATGTATTTATTTATTTATTAAATATATTGCTCTACAGGCTAAATGCCTAGTTATAGAGCAGGAAAAAATTGTAATTACAAAAGTAAATATAAATATAACATGTCGCACAATAAGACATAATTTGGATATAAGATAAATTACACAACATAACAAAAATTACACAATATAACAAAAATTACATAATATGACAAAAAATTAAATAAATTGATGAATATACACAAGCAAATAGTACCGAAACAGCTTTACAATTTTTTGAGCTGCGAAAGCTTACAAGAAAATAAATCAATTCTACCTTGTTGCAGTTTTCACACATAAAATACAACGGCGAGTTTTTTAATAAATTTGTCAGAGATAGCGGGAGATAAAACATTAAGTTGTTTCGAGATTCAGTTCTTGGCACTTTAAATACAAGTTGTTCTAATAACTCGGAACAATCAATTTGGTAGTTAATAAGTTTATAGAGGAATATTAACGACTGATTTTTTCGTCTACATTCTAAGCTTTGCATTTGAAATCTATTTAGAAGTAACGTGTGATTTATCCCAATTGATGGATATGTTCCGTCTATCTTAAATGTCAAGAATTTTAGATATCGTCTTTGAACGTTTTCAAGAGCGCTTATGTGAATATCATAAAATGGTTTCCATATTATTGAAGCATATTCTAATTTTGATTTGACAAACGCATTGTACAACATATTCATGGTTTCGATAGAATTGAGGTCAACTGCATGCCTTATGATAAATCCACATACTTTGATTACTATACGAGGCAAGAGAGAGGTCCGACACGCCCAACATTGGGCGCGGCCATTTTGAACCCTGTGACACAGTTTACAGCTAACGAATCAGATCGCTCACTCTGCGTCGGCACTTTTGATCTCAATGTTTCAGTTTATACACTGTGCAACTCGGATAATACAATATATGACAACCGCCTATAATAAAACAGCAGCCTTCTGCGTATCCTGAATTTGTATCCCTGGAGTGGATGTTATTTTGGAACTTTCAATTGGTCTGAGTGAGCTAACTGATTCTTTAGCAATAAACTGTGACTCCAAAAATAATATTCACTGATACTGACAGCAGCAAGCAAAATATCAGGTGCGTTTTAATCATCCGCTTCTGCTTCCGGAATTGTCGGTTTAGTCGTTTTAACCTGTCAGATTAAAACAAAAAAACCGACAATTCCGAAGCAGAAGCGGATGATTAAAACGCACCTATTAAAAATATTGCGCCAAGATGTAGGCAACACGTAATAAGGGTTCAAAATGGCGGAGTTTTCTATCTCCTTTTAAAAGGCACTCAGAAAGCTGCGCAGTGCGACCATTCTCCGTATAGTAAAAGAAAATCAAAATATGTGGATAAATCCCAAATTTCTGAATGATGCTTTTACCACGTCATTTAGATGTTCATTAAAAGTAAGTTTTCTATCGAACTTTACCCCAAGATCTATAACAAAATCAGGCCTATTTAATATAACACCATCCAAACAGTAGTTATAGAGAATTGGAAAATCTTTTTTGGTATATGACACTATATTACATTTTTTTGAATTTAATGGAAGATTATTTTTTAAACACCAATTATTTATTTTATTAATATTACTTTGTAATTTAAGACAATTTTGACATCGTCTGCATAAATTAAATATTTTACGTTAACGTCATTAATGATGTCATTTACGAATAGTATAAATAAAATAAAGATGACTATCTGTATTGTTGTCTGTCAATGACAATGTCAATGTAAGTACTTCCGGTAAATTAACCAACGAATGTGTGCACCTACTCTGAGTTGCTATTTTAATTTTAGTATTGTTTTTTCAAATAGTTATTCGTTAATAAAAACCTTTCTCCAAACTATTTCCACATTATTTTCTCTAGGAATAAAATCACATATTGGATCAATAGAAAGAGAAATTTGAGGTAAAGAGTCTGAGATGAGATAAAATAGAAATAAAAAAAAGAACCGTAGAATACAGTTTTGGTAATAATTTGAGGCAGTTTTCGGTGGTCACGGAATTTGTAGAAATATGCTTGGCCTTCTAAAAAGCACCTACCTTTACATTCATGGGCATTTTTGGCACTAGCTCTTCCCCATGGTACATCATTATAAAACGGTAAGCACTGTTCACAATTTGGTCCAGCGGTATTGTGCTCACATCTACAGGTTCTGACTGGATTTTCGTTTATTTGAGAGGAGACAACACATTCTGAAGCGTGTCCATTACATTTACATCTAGCACCAACGGCAATATCAGCGATAGCATAGAAGTAAGATTTAAGAACACTTTGGTCTCCGAAAACTTCGTCACCAAATGTGTTGAGTCGATCTAGTGTGATCATTATTTCCGTTGCTGTCACCCATTCCTGAAAATAGCAAGATGTTTTTTATCATTAGATATTACTTCACAAGATCAGAATTTTTATGACATATTTTGCTGTCAACTTTATTTTAGGGATTCCCTATGTTCCATACATATTCTTAATATATTTTGCACACTTTGCTTTATGGTTCATAGCAGAAACTCTGATTTATCTTTTTTACTTACACAAATTCAACTGGATTTTAACCTAAGCCCTAGGTCGTAAGTACTAGAAGATGGAATACTTTAGAGTTGTTGGATTAGTAGAGCTTATCCTCATGTCTCTTGGAAAAAATGTATTCTTAAATTTCTTTTGGAATGGATTCAACATAGATTTTATCCGATGCAGCTCTTTATTCCGAATAAAACAAGAAGAATTTACTATTTTTCTGAGTATATTTTTCTAGACAATATGTACAGGATGGGTAAATTTCGATAGACGAGAGACAAAATTTCGTTAACTATTTTTTAAGAAAAACTTGTTATCATTTTTAAAAATTGTCTTTTGCTTTCGAGTTATAAACAAAAGTTGGGTTTTTTCAAATTTTTATTGTGGCAATATCGCGTTTATTTATGAAAGTGGAAGAAAATAATTTATACGTATTTCAGGCACTTTTTTATTAAAAATCCAGTGGCGTAGTTAATTTTTTTAAAAATTTCTTTAAATAGAGTTATAGCATAAAGTTGTATTTTTTTATTCATTTTCATTGTTACACGGAAAAAAATGTGACTAGAAAATTTTACTACAATGTTGTAGTAGTAGACTTGTAGAAAAATACTTAACAATTTGTAGAAAATTTTACTACAATTTATAGTTAAAAACTATTAATTATTGTAGCAATTGAATTGTCGAATAAAATGCTACAACAATAGGAAAGAAGTCCACAATGTTTAGTATATTTTACTATTGTTTGTAGAAGTAGAAATTTATTACAATTATCGTAATTACTACTACTAACTTCTGTAAAAATTTGTACAAATATTAATTATCTCTACAAAAAATAGTAATTTTCTCTACAAAAAATAGTAATACTTTACATCCCTTCTTCAAAAATATTCTATAATATTGTAGAAATTCTAAGTCATGTGAACAAAACAGAATTCTGCTATTGGCCAACGTTTTCCGACGTCGATCATAAACGGCCAGACAGCAGTAGCCGTTCGCCATGTTCACATAACAAAGCATGGTATATATACGAGTACCTATAACACATTATTATATTATAAACACCGATGCGTTTGAGAAAATTTTAATAATAAATTCTATTGGTGGTAAGTACATTTATTATTGTTTCTGAATAATTTACCTTTAGATAACTAATTTAAATAACCTTAGTAGATTATTTTAAAAAAATAGTTGTGGCCAACGATCGAATGTTGTGCCCAACGATCGAATGTTGTGCCCAACGATCGAATTTTGAGCCAATTTCAATGATGTTTTTTTGTCTTAATTGTGACATACCTACTTTCTCATTTTTGTTAGTTATCTGACTTGGTCATTTAATATCCAAATCGGTGTAAAGGTGATAAATATCCCCGTTTTAAGGGTATGAACAATTCAATTGGTATTAATTTTTATTTTATATTTTTCAGATGCAGAAAAGCCAACTGAGACTGAGGGCGCTATTATTACTGTTATTTATTACATAATGTAATTAAGAATTTGTATCTATTGTATTAAAACAATAAATTGAATATTTTATTAAGGAACATTTTTTTCTAGGTTATAATTATAATAATTATGGAATACTGCTACAAATTTTATTAAAAATTACTACAATTTGTATGAATTTTTACTATTTATTGTGTGAAATTTTCGTATTTATTTTCATAAAACATTTTTCATATAAATTCATACAATGAATAGCAAAAATTATAACAATTTGTAGAACAATTCTTATGATGCCTTTGGATCTTTTTACTAAATATTGTAGATAATAACTCTACAATACATTCTCCACAAATATTTGGAAATGTTTACTACAAGTTGTATCTGTCCCTATATGTACTATTTATTGTAGAGAAAAAATCTACAATTGTAGAAATTTGTTCTACAATTTTTTTCCGTGTATTTAGCAAAAACTCATTATTTTCAAAATAATCTATAATACTCTGTTACTTTCTAAAAGGCTTGTGTCATTCAGAATATTTCTGATAGAAGTATCGGCATTTTCACAACACTGATCATTTAATAACGTTTGATTGAGTGCAAAATGGTGACATGCTAGAGTATTTTATTCAAAGTACTAATAATTCTGAATTTGCAAGTGAATTATATTTTAATCGTTACCCAGAAGGAAGACAACCTAATAATTCTATTTTCAAACGATTAAAAGAAAATCTCATAAATTATGGGGCTTTTAAGAAACCAAGGATACATATTTATTTTATAATATTGAAGATGCTGAGGAAGTTGCCACCAATGGTATTGGAATGGCAACTGCAAACCGTTCGATATTAAGTCATCAAATTGAAGCCGAGTCTGGGATATCACGAAAACGATAATTATCAATTATAAAAAATACAAATTCAGACCCTATAATATAAGGAAATAGCAACATCTTCAATATACCGATCCCGACCGACGCGCGACGTCTAAATTTTTGCAATTGGTACCTTGAAAACATAGACCGGAATCTTACGCAAGCAGTGCCGGAATTTTCAATCGACATAACGAATAATGGTGGTCCGACGTTAACCCCCCATCGTAACTTTGATGTATAAAATCAGGGACGTTCCGGTTTTAGTGTTTGGTGTGCCCTATAGGGCAATGGCATTTTAGCCTACCAAATTTATGTTGGAAAACTAAATGGCCAACGATTTTTAGAAATTTTAAACTAACACATATTCGATGGTTTTTGGATGACTTAATACTGAATGAGAGACGAAATATATATTTTCAACACGATGGGGCACCCACTCAGAATACTAGAAACGTCTCTGAATTGTTAATTTTTTCATTTCAGAGACAAGTGGATAGGAACAGAAGGACCGGTAAGGTGGCCACCATGTTCACCGGATTTAACGCCCTTAGATTTCTTATTTTGGGGATATATTAAAGACAATTCATACAAAAATACTTTTAATAATATTGACGAACTAATACAAAATTTTATACAGTGTGTTAATTCCATCTCCAATATCCATATTAATAACGCAATTCGGAATGATTCCAAAGGATGTCGTTCATGTAATGCTTCATAATGGACATTAATATGAAAATTTAGTCTAGATAGATTTATATTTTTTAATGATGTTGTAATTGGTTCTGCCAATATTACAATTCTTTGTCCCTGATTTGTTAAAACTTCCATAATGTATGATATTTTTTTTTTTATTATTTTAAAATAGAATTATTAGATTTATTAGGTTAGCTTCTTTCCGGGTAACGATTAAAATATAATTCACTTGCAACTTTAGAATTGTTATTACATACTTTGAATAAAACATTATTACAAATTTAATTTTTTATTTATTTTCTTAGACCATTTTGCTCTTTAAAAGTGATGCCATAAATAATCAGATACTTTGTCTTATTAGAAATATTCTAAATGACACAAGCCTACTAGAAAACAATAGAGTTATTATATTTTAAAAATAATGAGAGTTTGTTAAATAACAATGATAGTTAATAAACTGACCCCACACTATACATATATCAATAGAATAGGAATAGTATATTACACACCGAGGTGGGAAGAGTTTCATTCCTGTCGCGAGATTAGTTAGATCACCGAGACGCGAAGCGTCGAGGTTAGCTATGATCTCGAGACAGGAATGAAACTTCCTACCGAGGTTTGTATACTATTTTATTTACAACTATCATATTTCGATCAAAGTTAATAAATCTCTGTTTCGTTCTGAACATACCTAAAATATTACATTTAACGACAAATTATCAAGCGCGCGGTTTTCTCAGAATAATCAAGTAAATATATTGTTACTGTAATTACGGGGTAAACAACTGTTACCAATATAAATAAATGTCAGATAAAGCCCGATATTAAATTCGCGAATAATAAATATCAATAAGTAGTTTTTTGTATTTTAGTTCATTGTTGTTTTTTTATTGTTTGCCATTAAATAGGTATTATAAAATTTGTCAAAAAAATGTGTTATTTTTTTTAAATATAAAAAATATTCATCTAGAATAGATGAAATGAGGGCGGGAAATGAGGGCGGTAAGTAGAGGTGTGTAATGTGACACTTCCCAACCTTCAATGACATTAGTAATAACAACATTACATATATGGTTGTAAATAATTTTTTTTTGTATGCTACAACCAACTACCCGTTCCATATAAAAAAATACAGCTTTATGCTATAACTTGAATTTGAAGAATTTAAAAAAAAAATGACTACAACACTGGATTTTTATCAAAAAAGGTATAAATTATTTTTTTTTTTTTTCATAAATAAGTGAGATAATGCCATTTAATGAAAATTTTAAAAAACCAACTTTTGTTTATAACTCGTAAACAAAAGAAAATAGCCAATTTTTGAAAAAAAAAAAGAGATCAAGGATGGGAGGTTCTATTTTCCATACCATTTATAGTTAACGAGATTCCCTATTAAAACATCGAAATTTGCCAGGACTTTATTCTGAGTGGAAAATTATTTACTATCAACTAATACATGTTTCCATATTTAATCTTTAGCTATTCAGTTTTCATTTTTATATGCTCCTTTTCCATTTAAGTTTAGCTTGCAAAGTTAGACCAACTTATTTTGCTCTTTTCTTATTTGAGATACTATTGTTGTTAGGTTTATTGGTATTTATAATCTATTTTTCTATTGATGAAAATAATATGAGCATCATCATTAATTTTTGTGCGCCACTGTTTAGACCAAATTTGTATACTATTTATTCTGGTTTGAAGGCTGGCTGTAATTTCTTCTATATTTGATTCTATTAGTATGAAAACTGTCTCATCATCATCACCATGGTTGCAACTTAATAGTTTCTATCTCTGGAATGTCATAGGTTTAAAATAAATATAATAATGACCCAATAACACTTCACTGAGGAACGCAAGCATGTATTGACTTGCATTCAAAGTATTGGTTTTCAATTTTAATTTTGAACGTTTGCTAGTAGTTAGATATTACATTAAGAAATACCGGGCATAAAATTTGTTCTTCTAGAGATTCCTCGTAGAATTTTTGTCTCAAAATCCAAGTTTGGTGGAACGGGATAAGTTCTTTTTTGTCGCTTATTAGATTTAGTTTTCTTAAGAGCAAATAATTTTGGTATTACAGGTAGGCACAAAATTGGTATTTTTGATCGTATTTCAATATTGAATTTCCCAGTTCGGGTACCATTATTACGTCAACAGTTTTCCATACTAGTGAAACATGTTGAAGTCTAAATGCGGCATTTATTATATTTGTTAGTTTTACTATATCTTTTCGGGATGTCTTTAGTATCTCTCTTGGGATCAGATTTATTTAGGGATCTTTTTTTGTTTCGTTATTATTTTTCATTTCTCTTTGAACTTCTTTAGGAATAAAAAATATTTTCGCGATATCACTGCATTTCATTTGATTATTAATTTAATTTCTTCACCTTCTTTTGGATTCGGGTAAAAGATACTTTCTACATAGTTGGCAAAAGAATCACATTTTTGTTTACAACTTCTTACCCACGTGATATTTTATTTTCACATTGGAGGTACATATTGGAATGATTAATTTTTTGACAGCCTTCCATGATGAGGCATAGTGACTTGGTTATCTGTAACCTCTCTCAAGTACTTGTTGGTTTTAATTTTTTTACCACTCTCGATTACTCTTCATAGCTCTTGTGTAAGTTCATTTATTTGGTTTTTTTTCTCTGCAGTTACCATTCTTTGTCACTTCTTTAGAGCCTCTCATTGTTTTTTTTTATTAAATTCTTTATTTTTTTGGGTTAATTAATATCTATGATTATCATTTATATTAATGGTCTATCATGCTATGCTGCTTGTTGGATATTAACTATGTAATTCTGCTTTTGTATCCAAATCTTTCACCGTCCTAATGGAAATGTTCAAGTTAAAATCTTTCCCAATCTGTATGTTTGTTAGTGTGGAGTTGAGCCTCTAGTGAAATTTCATTTAGGGTTAAGAGTATTGGAGAGTGGTCAGATATCAGTTCTTCAACATCTACTTTTATAAAATTTAGCTGCAATATATTTCTGCAATCCCATTTACATTGCTGAATTTATCATTGTCTTCATCATTAAATTTTTAACAAAAATCCGTACAAAAAAAGCCTAAACAATAGATAGCTTTGTTCCAATAGCATGAGAAACTCTTTCAAATTATGACACTCATATGTGGATTAGAATATTTGCATTCCCGTTTTTTAAACAATTTCTTGTTGATGCTGCTGATGTTGGTTGAACTTAGCATAAATAGAAAATGAAAGATAATTATCCTATTACTAAATAAAAAATATATATTTTTACCTGTAAATCCGCACTCTCATCAAAATTATAAGCCGAGGGCCTACCCTCCAAAGTACCGAAGGCAACATTTCCTCCCTTAAGGGGTGAAATGTCTGAATATTCTGAATTACAAAAAGGTCGCGTCTCATCGCCTCGTATGGTATGAGTTGAGTCAGGAAGGCCATAAGTATCTCTGCAAGTAGCACTGCAACATAAAATACAAGAGAGATGTATACTTGGTTGCATACCGTTCACCTACTTTAATATTACAAATAATAAAAATTCTTTTAGTATTTGATTGGGTCTCGGATTGGATATGAATTCTATAGTTAAGAATATGAAACACCAAAGAATTATTACGTGCCAAAAGGTATTTTGGTTTAAAAAGAACTGGATATTTAAAATGCGATGAAATCTTTTTTATATACCAAATTAAAAAAAATACATAACGATATCAATATGACATTTTTAACAAAATAAATATTCTAGACTAAAAAAACAGCATTATCCAAAAAATATCGAGTTACCTGACACTGACTTAGGTATAATTTCATTTCTTACCTGTAATATTGATAAGGAATCCAAGGTCCATCTTTAGTAGTTCTTTTTGATATGTAGAAACTTTCAGGTCTAGGCGACCAAAACCAAATTCTTATATATGTGATATCAAACGCTTTACCTGAAAATAAATAATTCATATGATTTTGGTGATTATATTCTTCAGAAATACAAATAAACTATTCATGGAGGCATTCCTGTATCTTCTTTAGAGGAAGTGGATTAATTTCAAATTTGGTGATACATTTGATTTGAGGCAAGCCGATTTAAAAGAACGAACAGAAGGATATTTATTAAATATATTAGTTTTTAATTCAGTACTTATTGCAGAGTAATTTCATTAAATTCCTAATTATGTCAATTAAATCCGCTGGGGTATTTGTTTTTTTTACACTTTATTTCGTAACCAACTTTACAAATAAAGGTCTAGTTTAAAGTTACTATATACTATATTGAAAACGATCGCTAATATGAAATACCACTGACCTACATCACATGTAAATATCTCAAAATAATTCATACTCACTTCATACCCAAAAATTTACAATTTTGCGGCTAAGTTAACCGAAGTGGACGTGATATATTGGCGTACAAAATTATTTTAGATTTGTTTCAACAACAATCTTGGAACCATACACAAACCAGTCCACAACTTATTGTCGACGACTGATAATCGACGACCAGTCCACGACCTGTCGATGATTGGGACTAAATTCGGAACTTGGTCGTGTTGGAACACATGTTTCTGTTGTCAGGCACACTGTCAATAACGTAAAAGTAAAAAAAAAAAACATTAACAGATGTTAAATTTTGAATTTGGTAAATAAAAAAAATTAAAACTCATTAAAAGATTTATAAATTTTGATTATTTGATTGATTAGTACATTAACTTATTTTATTTTTTACTGTATCTAAGTCAGAATAATAGTTCTCTTCACTTTCTACACTCAATACTTTTTCTTTGTATACTCAATAATATACTATAAATAATGATAATGAATAAAAATCAAATTATGATCGAGACTATGATCGATGATGCTATTAAAACGAATATAATCACATTTCCAGAGTTGGTAGTGATTTATTTACGAGCTCATTTTCGTTTTGCGGATGTCTTTCTTGACAATTCGTTCCTATTCAGACCCAGTAACTGATTTGACAGTACAGAAACTGGTTTGTGATTAGGTTTGAGTATGTTGGAACACTAGGTTTTTGTACAGTTTTGAGTCAGAGGTTTGTTGGAACATCAAATTTAGACTGCGCAGAATCAAGACCGATTTGCTACTGTGTTGGAACAAACCTAAAGTGCCAATGTCTGTCTGTCCGTACCGGAATCTCAAGCCAAAACCTTATCGGACTTTAAGCTAGCGACACTTACTTATTTTTACCTTTTTCAACATATCTAGGTTTGCCACATACTTTGATTACTATACGGGGCAGAGGTCCGACACGCTTAACATAGGGCGCGGCCATTTTGAACCCTATGACACAGTTTATAGCTAATGAATCAGATCGCTCACTCTGCGTCGGCACTTTTTATCTCAATGTTCCAGTTTATACACTGTGCAACTTAGATAATACAATATATGATAACCGCCTATAAAAAAACAGCAGTCTTCTGCGTATGCTGAATTTGTATCCCTGGAGTGGATGTTATTTTGGAACTTTCAACTGGTCCAAGTGAGCTAACTGATTCTTTAGCAATAAACTGTGACTCCAAAAATAATATTCACTGACACTGACAGCAGCAAGCAAAATATCAGGTGCGTTTTATCATCCGCTTCTGCTTCCAGAATTGTCGGTTCAGTCGTTCTAACCTGTCAGATTAAAACAAGAAAACCGACAATTCCAAAGCAGAAGCGGATGATTAAAACGCACCTATTAAAAATATTGCGCCAAGATGTAGGCAACACGTAATAAGGGTTCAAAATGGCGGAGTTTTCTATCTCCTTTTAAAAGGCACTCAGAAAGCTGCGCAGTGCGACCATTCTCCGTATAGTAAAAGAAAATCAAAGTATGTGAGGTTTGCCATCTAACTACAGAATTATGATGTAACGTTAGAATGTAAAAAATCTCTCAAAAATGACAAAGTTGCCCATCGTATAAACATATTCATTTCTCTCGTAATTTTGTCTAGAATCTTTGTCATCTTCCAAGAAAAGCTGGTATTCTATTTCTGTTTTTTATTAAAATTCAAATAAAATAAAAGAAACGCAAATAGAAAATTCCAAATATACTGACAAAACGTTGACATCTTTTTGACGTAAGAAAATCTCGATTAACAATTTGATCCTCCGATATTGACGGATTAGAATAAAATCGGATTAAGAATGATTTTTATTACGGTGCATAGCTAAAACTGGTACTAAACGTGAATAAACCCTTAATCTGGATTAAATGTGTACGGTGCATACGGGCGTAAGAAGTTCTCGATGAATAAACTGCCGGAACACCTGGATCAAGCATCCTATGAATCCATCTTAAATCCTGAAGGTCAGCTTGAAGGAGAAGTGATCACCAAGTTTTTACAATGGGTGGCATCACAATTTCAAATTAAGGCTGCGTTTATTCATCCAAACTACACAGCCAATTTTTATGCCTTAAAGGAGAATGTTCTCGACCAGATCAAAGAAAATAAAAACGCGTATCCGGCTGCACCTTTTCTAATGGGCGATAATGAATTTGAAATACTATTAGTGCCGTTCCACATTCGACAACCAGATGCGTGGCGAGGTGGAGAACATTGAATGTTGGCTATCTATAATAAAGGCGGGGTTGGCGGACAGACATTTTTCTATTTATACGATCCTAAGCCCAAGTTAGACGAGAATAAGAAGCTGGACGAAAGATCACCGATCTATTCTTCGTCATATTCTTAAGACCGTCAAGCATGGAATTAAGTTACAAGGTACAATATCTCTTCCACATGGGAATTTCAACAAACAAGCTGATACTGACTATTTCTCATGTGGTGCCTACATCTGTTACTATGCCAAAGAATACCTTGAAAACCGGACCATTCGATTGCAACTAGACTTTGATGTGCAAAAAGAAAGTCGTACAATAGCCGCCATTATCGAAGAATCTCAAAATCCAATGCCAGCTAGACACATAAACAGCACCGAAAGTATCACATTAAGTAAAATTGCAGCAGAATTAGCAGTACAATCAAGTATCGAATCACTTAATGAGTAAGCGCAAGCGGGAAGCAGAACGACGAAGCAATGTTACTCCGCAAAAAATGGTTAAGCGACGAGCTTATGATCGAGAAAGAATTTTACAACGACGAATTGAAAAAACGCCGAAACAGATTGAAAATCGTCATGTAGCAGACAGGACAAGGGCTTCACGGCGCCGTGTTCAAGAAACACAAGAAAAAACTTAAAGACGTCGGGAAGAAGACATCCACGCCTTCGTGAAGCTAGAGCTCCGGAAAATGGACCTATGAATAAGACTGTTATGGACTCAAACGTTGATCAACACCGTCTGAGCCTATTCAACATAGAGTGCTCCAATCCAGATTGGCGCTAGATTCACTGAATAAAAGATTACGAATTTCAAAGAAACCTTTTACGACTGCTGCAATCATGGAAAAGTCATTCTCGAAGAGAATACAATTTCAGAACTCGAAGAGCTATTTCTAAAGAGGCACCGATTACATCGCACTTTTCACGGGAGTATCCGCCGATTGAACATTATCCTCTCTTTCGCTTTAATCACCGCAATCAATGTTGCACCGGCTGGAGGAATCTACTCTTTTGCCATCAAAGGAACAATCTATCATCGATTCGAGCCTGCTATAGAGCAAAGTCAAGACGAACATGGTCAATCAAAAATTCCACTCTATGGCGCTCTTTACTTTTTTGATCCAGCTGAAGCCGTTAACAATCGTTTGATTGACAACGACAACGAGGGCGGACAACAAATATTCGAACTTTTAGAAAGGATCATAAGAGAAAACAACCAATTTTTCCACGCATACCAAATGATAAAAGAAATATAAAAAGAAACCTTTTAAAATGCAGAAAATCAAGAAATCAATCCGCCACAATTGAAATTGATATTTGATGATCAACATCGTAAAATCATAGATCGCCATTCCTACAATGTGCCAGCCGTTGTAGCAGCTGTTTTTGTCCTCCATGTGGATCAATCTCTTCCAGATGTACAACTCGTAATGCACAAAAAGAACGCACCAATCGACACAATGCATGAGCGACTTGATCGAGCCATTCTTATATCCGTAGTTCTATCCAACTGGCACGAAAGGTTATCCAGCCGAAATTCCGTACCCCTATACAGAAGGACAAAAGAAAATGAAATTTGTCACTCGTTCACAATTCACTAGATATCGATTAGTAGCGCGACCACTGAAAGGCACAAAGCAAGAAAATACAATTCAAGTTCCACCTGAAGCAAGACGATCGTCACGTTAAACTGTTCAACGGCAAGTGGCAAGAAATCTTTGACAAAAAGGATGTTTCAACCCAATACATCATGGGGGAACATTATTTCTGCAATGGTACATTGATTCTTGGATCCGTGTAGAAAAAAATAAAATCCAATTCATCAAAGATAACCAAGACAAACTTATGGCGCATTGTTACGTCAATATCGACAAGTACCTTGCAAAGCGAGCAAAAGAAGAAAATGCTGAAGTTTCAGAGAAGGTCATTTTACCATCTTCGTTCACTGGATCTCCCTGTTGGTACTCAGAACAGTATCATGATGTAATGGCACTCGTCCAACGCTTTGAAATGCCGGATTATTTCATTACCGTGACTTGCAACCCAAAATGACCACAAATCATCGATGCTTTACTAAATGAGTTTGAAGTTGGAACTAAATTAAAACAAGACGCTAATTTTCGTCGAGTCTTCAAACCAAAATTGGATCAATTTATTGAAGACATCTACAGAAACAAGATATTCGGAAAACCTTTGACTTATACATACGTCATTGAGTTCCAGAAGCGAGGACTACCACATGCTCACATTTTCTTGATTATGCATCGTGAAGATAAACCTCAATACCGGAAATAATAAACGACTTCATCTCGGCTGAAATTTCAGAAGAATACGAAGAGCTGCGCAAAATCATCCTAGAACAAAATATGCAAAAACCCTGTGGACATCTGAATCCAAAATCTCCCTGCATGGTGGATAAAGGCGACAAGAAAGCATGTCGATTCAAATTTCCTAAAGAGTACAATAAAAAAACACGACTCGTTAAGGACCAAATATCACAAGGTCGACGTCACTACTTGGGTAAGTAAGATTCAATGAAAAAAAAAAATAATTCCAGGGTAACCAAGCAATGATGCGAAGAGACAAGGAAAATTGTACAGTTTTTCAAGACAATCGTCATGTCGCTCCTTACAATCCATATTTGTCAAAGAAGTTTACTTGCCACATTAACGTCGAAAATGTTGGAACAATAAAGTCTGTCAAATATCTTCATAAGTCATCTACAAAGAAGCCGATTGCGCCGAATTAAATATGATGGGCGACGAGCAAAAATTGTTCTATGATGAAGCCAGTTATTACGTTTCTGGACGTTACTACAAGGCACCCGAATCTTGCTGGCGTCTCTTCGAATTTGACATCCAAGGGAAGGGTCATAAAGTTGAACGTTTGGACATACATCTTGAAGGACAAGTATTAGAAATTAAAAATTAAAAAAAAAACGACTTCAAAAACGTGCAAATGCCATCACCACATCTTAACCAAATTTATATGGGACTACCCCTGAGGTACCTCCTTAGTAACAAAAAAAGAATCATATAAATCGGACAAGGTGGTAAAGCATTATCACTAAACATACATAAAAATGAAGAGTTTGAGAATTTTCTCATGGACCCAATTATTAGATTTTGACTAAATATATATGGGACCACCCCTGCAGTACCCCCTTTCTAACAAAAAAAGAATCACACCGTGTTAAAGAATAATCGCTGAACATACATAAAAAAAAAAAGAAAAAAAAATATCGCGACGAATTGATAACCTCCTCCTTTTTTGAAGTCGGTTAAAAATATCGTTCAAATCTAGAACAACAACCTGAAGATCAAGAAGACATAGGCCAAAAAGGATGTACCTTAGAAGCATTTTTCAAACTAAACAAAAAGGCTAAGGAAGAAGTTGCCAAAGGTGACAAAGGAGATGACGGATACAAGAAGGCACTTGACTTATTTGATTGGCAAATACCAGAGTACTTTACGTGGCATCCCAATACAAGCAAATGGAAACCCAGAAATAATCCAAAAATTAGAAGAGTGTATAACGCCACTGCCTTTTAACCATATCATTGTCTTACATTGCTTCTCAAGACAAAAAGTCCAACATGCCATGAAGATCTGCTTATTGTTCCAGGACGTGATGAACCATGCAAATCCTTTAAGGAAGCATGCATCGCCAGTGGTCTTGCAAAGAATGATCAACAATAGAAAGATGCCTTAAATAAAGCAAAACACACGAGTCGGTAGAGCAATGCATACTCTTTTTGTAACTATTCTGACAAACTGTGAACCAGAAAATCAACTTGAACTATGGAATATGTTCAAAAAAGATCTGGCGGAGGACTTTATTCGGTTCAACACAGAACGTGGACTTCCAATAGAAGATGCGATTGCAAGTGCCTATCGAATTATTGCCACCGGTATACAAGAAGAAGCAAAGGATGGTCGAAGAAGATTTGCAGATTGGGTGACCCGATACGACTTTCCAGATATAGGATCATTTGAAACTGAAGACCATCAAGAATTCATCTCAGCCACTGATGCAGCAGTGAAAGAACAAACAATGTATGCAACATTGCTTGAAGAACAACGCTATTTTGGATGCGGCTAATGGAAAACCAACCAAATAAGTGCTTTTTCTTTGACGGGCCGGGTGGAACTGGCAAAACTTATGTTTATAAGTGTCTTTATTATCTGTTGATTGGCGAAGGAAAACGAATTAAAAATATGGCTACAACTGGAATCGCAGCAACGGTGTTACCTGAAGGAAGAACCGCTCACAAGATTTTCAGAATAAATGTACCTCTGGATTCCGATTCCAAGTAAAAGATCAAGAAGGGTTCCAATGAAGGTTACGAGCTGGCTGAAATCAATGTTTTCTTCCTGGATTAAGTTTCCATGTTACCGAAGTATGACATCGAAAATATCGATGAAAAGCTACAGGAATTACATGAAAATCGACTGCCTTTTGGAGGAACTGTTCAAGTATATGGTGGCGATTTTCGACAATGCCTACCGGTCTAACCAAGAGCCAATAGCTCGGAACTCATAGATTTATCAATAAAGCACAGCAGATTATGGCGTCACTTCAATGTTCATAAGCTTATAAAGCATATGCGAGTAGAAGAAGATGAAGTTGAATGGGCCAAATAGGTGTTAGCGATGGAAGATGGACGATTGCCTACCAACGACTTAAATCAAATTAAGCGATGACTTTAAATCAACAGGAGACCTGGTAGAAGATGTGCATAAAATATGTTTTACAAATTATGACAACTGGGAACAAGAAGTCCTTCATCGAACCATCTTGACACCATTAGCAAATCTTTAAAAATGTCGTCTATACCAGTATTAATACCGTGAAAAACTAACTTGGAGGGGTGGACTTCTTAAATGATTACTTTTGGAGCAGAAATCCGACAGATCTACCTTCACACGAATTAAAGTTAAAGAAAAATTCTATGATCATGCTTATTTGAAATATACGTGTTAATAAAGGTCTTTGTTATGTGACACGTTTATTTGTTACCAAGTTGGAACCAAATTTCATCGTGGCCAAAATCGTGACTGGAGAACACAAAGGAAGAATTGCCTACATTCCACGAAACACTTTAGAAATCGACAAAGGTCTGAGATTTACCATGGAACGCCACCAATTCCCTGTAAAGCCAGATTTTGCTATTATTATCCATAAGTCACAAGAGCACACTTTCGAATTTATCGGTATTGATTTAACGACGGATGTGTTTCCGAATGGCCAGCTCTATGTTACATTCTCTCGAGTCAAACGTAAAAGTTCAATCAAAGTAATTTCCAATCCTATAAAGGCTCCGTGGACTCGTAATATAGTATTGAAACAGATGCTAGATCCACAGCCTCAAATAGTCAATAAGAATTTGCAGAAGTCTATTTAGATAAAAATTATGATATATTTAATGACATTATATAATTATGTACATTTTTTATAACTTCTTAAACTTTTAATTTGCAAAAATTCACTATTCAAATGATACACGCGGCGCTATGCGCCTTGTGCATCTTTTGAAATCTTCTCAAAATTTGAAGCGTTTAAGACGTTCGGTCCCCTGTTTCTTAATAACAATTTCGGGTAAATAGTTTGATGAATTGTTCGGCTGGTAAAAATTTTAAATTACTTATTCTGTGGAACACCACTGGCAGATAAACATTACCGCGAAATTCTCGAAGTAGTCTGACGTAGGGTTGCCAGATGTCCGGTTTTTGACCAGACAGTCCGGTTTTTCTGCTGCATGCCCAGTTGAAAAAACTTGGTAAACCGGACAACAGAAAGTCCAGTTTTTGTTGAATTCATAAAAATTCGTGTAATTTGAGAAAAAATTAAATATGTTATTGTTAGAATTAAAATACATATGGCATTGAGGAAAGGCTATCATTCAGACTATCAGTTAAAACAATTTACAAAAAATGTTCTAAATGTTTATCAAAGAGCTCTGCGTTATATAAAGAAGTGGTGTCCCTTTGAGAATAATAATTTCAAGACTTTCAGTTGTTTAGACCTAGAAACTGGAATATTGCACATGCTGGATCAACTGATTGATTTGTGGTTAATTTCTTCCTGGAAACAGGAACCCCCACCTGAAAACATGTAGGAAGAACTGGCTGCACTTGAAGGAAAAACAGTGGATATGTAATGTACATTTTTCAGGAATGAAGCAGCACCAAATTTGCTCAAAATAGTTCAATTTGTTTGCAGCATTCCTATATCCAATGCATTTGTTGAATGGATATTTAGCGTCATGGGAAATATTTGGATACACGAAAGAAATCATCTGTCTCTAGAAAGTGTGAAAGACTTTGCGTTTTTTTAACATCAATAGCAGTTGCACAAAATTCAAAGATACCATAACAAGCAACAGAGACTTGTTAAAAGCAGCGGCATCTAATACCAAATATGTTAAAAAGTTTGTACCTTTGTTGTTTTTTATTTTTGTTTGATTTGCACTTTTATGATTTTTGTGTTCTGGATCTGAACTCATGTTATTATACTTTTTATTAAAATACTTATATAATTTTTTAAAGTTGTTTTTTTTTGGTATGTGGTTGTACGGATATCCGGTTTTTTTTGTAGTACATCTGGCAACCCCAGTCTGACGTGGTTTGACGTTTACCCCCTCTCTACCTACCAAAAACCTTCCTAACGTCTGCTCCTGTTATATTAAAGCATATACAGGGGTGGATTCATGAAAACTGGATCTGTTTTTCGATTTAAAAAAATTATGTCATTAATCTTTGACTAAGGGTTAAAATTCTGACCCAAAGAAGAAAATAGTAAAAAAGTAGCAGGCTATAAAAGTGAGAGCAAAATTAGCATCATTTCAAATCCTTATTCTAAATATTTCCATAGAATAAAATCATCATTATTTTTCCCACATTTTGAATTTTGAACGCCACTGCAATGATGACGCGAATACTAATTTCTTCCTGTAATAAATCAGACCTCATTAATCCAGGATAAATTAATATTGGTTTTAATCTTGATATTAAATGATAGTAAATTACGGCCTACAGTAGAGATAAATATGTGCAATTTATTAGAAAGATTTATGTATCCTAATTTTACTGATTTGTTGATCAAATTAAATAATTATCAATTTATTTATTATTGCCAATGTAAATAGAACCATTGGTATCATTTAAATAATATTTTTATTAAATGTTTATTTTTAATTTTGGATTTTCATGATGAATCCTTCAAATTTAAAATATAAATTTACTACAACAACATGCCAAAGTTTCAGAAAATTTGACGGGTCGCCACTTTGCATAAGAAAAGTGCGGGGTCCTTTATTTTGCGTCTACATCCTGTGTGTGTAACCATGTGTACTGTACTTGTACTCGTATCTCTGGCTTTGTCGGTCATGGACTAATTTAGAAATATTTTTTTGTGGATCGTTCTTTATAATAAATATTTTGAGATAAACGAAAACTGACTTTGTTTATTGGCCTTGGGCCATGAACTAAATATGTAATTTTTGCTATGTATTATCACATATATTCTCCAATTAATAATTATTATCAAATAATAAATTTAATCTTTTTAATTTGTGCTAACGTGAACAGTAGGGTGATTCATTTCCGCAAAGTTTTTTTTCCTCGGCGCTCAAGCAAAATATTAATCAACCTATAGAAAAAAAAAATTTCACCAAGGTAGAGCTCTTAATATCAATTTTAAGTACTTGCAATTTAAATTTAAAGTTTTCCCATTTAAAATGCATGTAAAAAAAATGTTTTTTTTTTAAATTTCTAATGCTCACCCGCTTTTTACAATATTGTGAATCGGTTTTATGGACCTTGCAGGGAATTTCACGCTCTACAAAATTGTCTTAGTGTTTTTTTGTGTAACTCGTAGTGGTTCGCCAGTAGAAGTCATCAAAGTTCAATTTTTTGAATGAACATTTTTTTTTTGCAATTTTTTTTAACAATTCGTAAAAAAATAGTAAAAAAACAGAGCTGAATCGTGAAAAATAGTCTTTTACAAATATTTGATGAATTTACGGCCATTTTTATATCTCAAAACGTAAGTTATTCATAAATATTAACCAATTATGCTATTTAAATTAAACTTTCTTATTTACTATCGATATAATTCTCTACAACAATAACTTTTTCAGAGTTATTATGATTTCTGACTAAAATAAATATAAACGTAACACATCAATTCATAAAAAAACAACAAATATACAATTGCAATTTAGATTCTGCAATTTTTCACCATTTCCGTAATATAGCAATAAATATAAATAAAGGTTATTCAATTTTTTGAGCAAAATTCTTAAATTAACGAAAAAGTAAATTGTTTTTATTGTCAACTTCATTTGCTTCAATATTGTATAAGTAGAAATTGCTATTTGAATAATTGCACTAAATAATATTGTGATGGCATATTCTAACATAAGTAAAAAAATAATTATAATTATTTGATTGCGAAAGCAACTGTTACAATTTTATGATTGCTCTAGTTAATTAGTATGACGTTAGCGACTCTATTGTCTTTGTAAACGGGTTTGATGCTTTATCTTATACTTAACCCCAAAATGTATTGTTTGCTGTATTTAGTGATTAGTCCGAGAACAAAGTAACGCTAATATTCTAACAAAATAAACCAAGTTTTTGATAAACTTGGGACGTGGGACGTACCCCAGGTACGTCCCACGGTTCGACAGTATTTTTCATAAGCAATGTATGCTTTTTTACTCTGTTTTTTAGTTAATTTGCTGTCAAAGGTGAGATCTAGGTACTTCACTTTTGTTGCAAAGTTTAGTTTTGTGTTTAGGAGTTTTGGAGGTTTTAATTCCGTTTTCTTTTTGGTATTTAATATGACTGATGTTTTAATTTATTCTTGAATTTATTAAATAACAACAGCTGTTTATTAGAATGTATACCTGAAATGGAAGTAATGGATTTTTTAACAACTGGAAAGGAATGAATAATTAAAAGATTTTAAAATTATTAAATTGTCAACGCCTCTCAGTAGGCGGAACAGTCAATTATTACATTTGATATTTTAACAAGATAATTTTGACGTTATTAAATCAATTTCTAATAATAGTGCTAAAAAAGATGAATTTAAAT